GCTCATTGATAAGAGAACTAATAAATTAAGGAAGAATAATATTTCATCTGGGCACAGAGTGTATACCATAACTCAGTAAAGATTATTGTTTAATACATGCAAAGATCTATGTTAAACATTATAGGAGATAGTAAAATAGTATAGCAGTAGTGGCAGTAGTAGTAATAATAGTAGTAGTAGTACAGTCCCTGCCTTTAAATTACTTGAAGTCTTGGGTAAGAAAGACACCTAAAGTTATAATTAATGATGCACAGTTATAATTCATTGCCACAGAATGGTGCAGTGTATTAACATAATTAAGAAAAAGCATGTGATTAAGTGTTGTTAGTAAACTTGAATTCCAGTCTTAGTATTGTTGGTAATTAGATGTGTGTGACTTTAGGCAAACCATTTACTTTTTGGTGTGTCAGTTCCTTTGCATATAAAATAAGGAAGATGGACCAGATTGATTCTAATATTTTCCAACTTTAATATTTTCTGAATTTATTTTCCTGTGTAACTTGCATTCAGAAGATGTGAGGGGTCATTTTAAGAAGGTATAGATAGACTAGAAGGGCCTTACATAGGAAATAATTTTTACTGAGCATTGAAAGATTTGTTGGATAAAGAAAAGGATGGCGATTCCAAGATGGCTGCGGACTGAGTGGAAGCTACACGGACACTCTCCCAGAACCAAACTGGAGTTAGAACTAAAATACAGAAAAACCACCCTGCATAATCAACTGAAGACGAGCTGGAGAGCACCCTCATAACCAAGGACCTAAAGTGAAGACCGACTAGAGACTGGTAGGAAGTGTGGAGGTGTGAAAGGGCTGGCCCAGCTCCCTTAGGCAGCCCCTGAAGGTCCAGAGGGAGATCTCAGCTGTGGGGGTTCCCACGGAGAACACTGGGGACTAAATCCCAAGCTGGGCTCCCCAGCTCAGAGCACGAGAACTGAGAAAGATGCCCACATAACATCTGGCTGTGAAAAGCAGTGGGGTTTCTGTCTGCCAGGAAGATAGCTGGAAATGCAGGCACCCTCTTAAAGCGCCAACACACAAAGTTTCGTGTGCAGCCACTCACCTGGGGCTCCAGCAGAGGGAGGGCAGGGTGGACTGGAGCTGTGTGAGGAGGTTCCGGGGTTCCAGGCTTGAGGGATGGAACTCAGAGAGCAGCAATCTGGATTCCCGTGTTGTTATTCCCCCATACAGCAGAAACATCTTTNCCAGGCTTGAGGGATGGAGCTCAGAGAGCAGCAATCTGGATTCCCGTGTTGTTATTCCCCCATACAGCAGAAACATCTTTCTCAGGCAGACCTTTACCATCCAAGCAGCTTTTGCCTGGGGGTGAAGCAATTGCTCACTCTGTTGGAAAATCTCTTACCCCATCCTGTGGAGTTCCTATTCCCTGAGGCTCATTAACAGACTGAATAACAGCCAGCCTGTGGGTGCTTTGAGTTTTTGCCTGATCTGCTTACAGAGAGAGAGAATATTAAAGGCAGCAAGAGAAAAGCCGTCTGTTACCTACAAAGGAGCTCCCATAAAGCTGTCAGCTGATTCCTCATCAGAAACTCTGCAGGCCAGAAGGGAATGGCATGAAGTATTTAACCTTTAAAAGACAGCATTTAAAAGACAGCATCATACAAACTCCATGTATTTTCCAGGATCA